ATTTATTAAAGATAGATTCTTGAGTAAGCTCCATTTTCAGCAAAATATATATATAAAATTGTCGATAGTTTTTATTGTAAGATCTCCTCGCAAACCAATCTAAGATATAAACATAAATACTTCGCTGAATATAACATCAAATGCTTCTTTTTAGCTGTTTTAAATCACAGAAGGTTGTTAAGTACGAACTCTGTGCCATAAGTATCTCTTTTATTCAATTTTAAGTAAGGTACTTGACTATTAAGTTAGATTTTTTGTTAGATGATAACTAATATATTGTAAAATTTTATTAATTTACAAAATGAGTACTTGATAAAGAGGTAATTTAATTATTTAAAATCGCAGCAGTTTCTTAATTTGATTAAAAAATTTAGTATATCCATTAATTTTTATGGATAGTTCAACCATCCAAAGATTTGTTAATATAAATTAAAAACAAAAAATATTCCCATAGCATAGTTTTTGATTTGTCAGTTACAATAATCTACTTAATTGGAAACAATATTAACATTATTTCATTTTTTAACCTTGAATTTCCAGCTTGATAACTCTCATATATCAGATGCTCTTCTTAAACCCATATTTAAATAATGAGCTACAATAAACTTTTTCTTATTTTTATTAGGAGTGATGGTTATGATACAATTATTTCAAACCATTCTTCTTAATCTTAAAGATTGTTTACTTTTTTTTATACATAATCTTCATCTGGAGCAAAGGCCAAGTTTATTTTAAACGACTTTTTAATGAGTTAAAATTTATTAAATTGCTAAACAAAAACATTTAGTGAATTATTTAATTTTTTTTAAAATCATATATATATTCAAATTTTAGAATTTATAGAAAATAACAAATAAATAATTAAATTGCTATACTTTTATAATATTGTTATGTCCAAAAATTATTTTGTAATAAATTCACAATCTTCTAAAAAAATATTAGAAGACAATAATAAAATCAAATTTTTTGATATTAAGTGATTAAATTAATTTTTTTTTATTCCATTTTAACCTAATAATCCTTAAATTTTCATAATTTCATCATCTGAATAACATTTAATATTTTATATTATTATTATATTTTATAATTTATCTAAAAGTGACTTTAAGTTTACAAAAAAACTTATGAGCTTTTTCCTATTCTAATAAGGACTACGGATTGATTTAATAATAATAAAACTCCAAATTTAACTCAAATTTTAAATCATTTTAAGCAGCTTCTTCAAGAAACTTTTTAATAATAACACTTTGAAGATAAATCATTTATTCTGATTAAGAAATATTATTTTCTTCTTTTCCTTATATTGGATATTTATTGGATTATAGTTTACTAATATTTTTCTTAAATAAATTCGTCACCCTTTAGATTTATTCATTGTAAGACTATTATCACGTAAGAAATATTTATTTTTAAACTGGCTAGGATTGTAAGGTTGATAAAGTTGTGGATTTTTAGATTTTTATAACTTTGAGGTTTTATATGAGGTTAGGGTTATCAATAAGGTTGTAAATTTAAAGGAAGGGGTTAAATATTGGATGTCGAGCGTAGTGAGGTCAAAAAGTCAAGTAAAAAATAGGTCAAAAATTGTGGATATTATTTATTTACTTTATAGATAAACTTGGGATTATTTCGATAAAAAGAAGAATTTGAGAGGAAGTTCTATTTTATAAATTGAACTAATCGTTCTTTCTTTGTTAATTTAGAGAAGTCCTTCTTCATTGATTTTTTTATGAAATTAACTAATTCATCTCATTGTTATTATTAGAAACATAAATTGCATTCTAAATTTTATTCTACCTTTACTTGAAAGATAATTTTGCCAAATTTAGTCAATACAAGATGTTTCCTTACTTCTAGATTAACATTTTATTCAATTATTTATGATTGTTGAGTTTATTTCATGTTAAATATCTAATTGAAAGTAAAAGATTTTAAGATCACTTTAAATTTAAATTAAGATTATTTTTCATATTATGAAAACATTAAAGATAACACTTTAGATATGTAAAATATAAATTAGTACTTAAGAAAAATGGTTTATTCTGCAATATGAAAAAGTTTAAATGTAAAATTTACTTTTTCAACAATAAGTAGTGTCATTCGAGCATTTGCATTTATGGCCACTAGAATTAGATTAATTAAATTTACATTTGATTATAGGATAAGAATAAAATTGGATTATTTAGATATGAGTTTACAAATAGTGATATTTATGAATTAAAAAAGTTTCAGAAAAGAAGTCATAGTATAAAAAAATTTAATATGTAAATTAATTAGTGTTTTAACCAAAAAAAATTATATAGCATACAAGTATTTAATTAATTTATAAAAAATAAAGCTATGAACAAAATAAAAATATACAAAATAAAGGGTTACAATTATTCCAATACATTAAAGTGTTTTTTTTACTCAACATTACTTGACTAATAGAGTATTTATTAAGTGTAAAAATAATTTTTCATAAAAATTTATCAACTTTATTAACCTACAAAAATATGATTAAATTAGTTTCTGATTTTTTTTCAATTAATTAAGTTATCATTCAGAATGTATAAATAATTATCTTTCAAAAGCTGTGCCAAATCTTCCAGTATGAAAAGGATTTAAAATATATTTATATTAAATGAGGCGTTTTTTTCTATAGTGAATACTCTTTTAATTTATTAAGCTAAAAATTTATTATATTAAATTCATTATTCCAAAAAGTAATAAATTTATTTTTAAAATTCTCTCAGGTGCTTGTTTTGCTAATAAACAACAATATGAACTATCTATATCTTATTTTATAATAAATAAAAGGATATTTACTCATTCTATAAAAGGGTTTATTCATTAATTAATTATTTAATCTTTTGCCATTTTATATTTTAACTATAGTTATAAACGGATCTTTAATAGAAAAAACATTATTAATGCTTATTTTATGTAACAATTGGATATACTTAATTTCTTCTACATAAATCTGTAATTAATTTGATGTTATTTAATTTCTCAGATAATGTAGATTCAATTAGAAAATAAAATAATATTATCGTAACTCCATTGTATAATATTTTAAATAAATTTCATAAACCTATCCTAACTTAGTAGTGAAAATAAACCTCTAGCAATATTTTTAGATAATATTAGTTCAATCTTAGATCATGAATTTAACCAAATGAGGATCATTAGAAATGAAACAATATTAGCTTGTTTTTGAAAGTTACTCAAGCAATACCTTAGGCAATGATAGTTACTGATTTACTATTTCAATAACTGTTTATTAATTGTGTTAAAAAGTTTCTAAAAAAATAAATTACTTTTAATATAAATTCAAATGGGAAATACTTGTTGCGCTAAAGATACTACAATTGAAAAACCAATATAAATATTAGATATAACACCAATTATTCAAAATGAGGAATAGTTTGAATTCAAGAGATAGCATAGTGCTATTAAAATATAGTCACTTTTTAGAGGATAATAAGTTAGAAAATAAGTAATTTAAATTACAAAGAAGGGTTCATGAATTAGAATAAGAGTTGTACCCATCAACTGATATTGGCAAAAGAACTAACAAGAAATTTGAATCAGAAAATCCTTTTGTAAGGAAATCATTAGATAATTTCGGTCCTTTTAATTTTGATTAGTGTAATTAGATTGCCGAAGCATAATATCTTCCTCCTATTGTATCTATGTTTTTCTTATACAAAATAGGAATTTAATAATGGAATTATTTACTAAGGTTAATGGTTAAATAAAAAGAGATGGGGAAGAGGATAATAACTATTTCCAGATGGAACTGTATATGAGGGAAGTTGGAAGAATGATATGGCAGAAGGATATGGAAGATTAATTACACCTGAAGGAAATACATATGTATATTTTGATTAAATAAAAAGATTGGATTTTGGAAGGAGAATGAAAAAGAAGGTAAAGGAACTCTATATTATGAAAATGGAGTAATTTTTGAAGGGGAATTTTTAAAAGATTAAGAGAATGGTTATGGAATAGAAAAATGGCCAGATTAAAGTATGTTCTAAGGAAATTATATAAATGGAATTAAGTAAGGTTTAGGAAAATATAAATGGACAGATGGATCTATTTATGATGGGAATTTTTAAAATAATTAAATAAATGGTAAGGGAAAGTAAATTTGGTCTGATGGTAGATAATATGAAGGAGATTGGGTATTAAATAAGATGCATGGGATTGGAACATTTATTTGGCCAGATGGTAAGAAGTATATAGGAAATTATCGAGAAGATTTAAAAGAAGGATATGGAGAATTTATATGGCCTGATGGAAGAATATATAAAGGAGAATGGTATAATGGTAATCCTCATGGAAAAGGAGTATTTATCGATAAAACAGGGAAATAAGAGAAAGGNTAATATTTTAAATAAATTTCATAAACCTATCCTAACTTAGTAGTGAAAATAAACCTCTAGCAATATTTTTAGATAATATTAGTTCAATCTTAGATCATGAATTTAACCAAATGAGGATCATTAGAAATGAAACAATATTAGCTTGTTTTTGAAAGTTACTCAAGCAATACCTTAGGCAATGATAGTTACTGATTTACTATTTCAATAACTGTTTATTAATTGTGTTAAAAAGTTTCTAAAAAAATAAATTACTTTTAATATAAATTCAAATGGGAAATACTTGTTGCGCTAAAGATACTACAATTGAAAAACCAATATAAATATTAGATATAACACCAATTATTCAAAATGAGGAATAGTTTGAATTCAAGAGATAGCATAGTGCTATTAAAATATAGTCACTTTTTAGAGGATAATAAGTTAGAAAATAAGTAATTTAAATTACAAAGAAGGGTTCATGAATTAGAATAAGAGTTGTACCCATCAACTGATATTGGCAAAAGAACTAACAAGAAATTTGAATCAGAAAATCCTTTTGTAAGGAAATCATTAGATAATTTCGGTCCTTTTAATTTTGATTAGTGTAATTAGATTGCCGAAGCATAATATCTTCCTCCTATTGTATCTATGTTTTTCTTATACAAAATAGGAATTTAATAATGGAATTATTTACTAAGGTTAATGGTTAAATAAAAAGAGATGGGGAAGAGGATAATAACTATTTCCAGATGGAACTGTATATGAGGGAAGTTGGAAGAATGATATGGCAGAAGGATATGGAAGATTAATTACACCTGAAGGAAATACATATGTATATTTTGATTAAATAAAAAGATTGGATTTTGGAAGGAGAATGAAAAAGAAGGTAAAGGAACTCTATATTATGAAAATGGAGTAATTTTTGAAGGGGAATTTTTAAAAGATTAAGAGAATGGTTATGGAATAGAAAAATGGCCAGATTAAAGTATGTTCTAAGGAAATTATATAAATGGAATTAAGTAAGGTTTAGGAAAATATAAATGGACAGATGGATCTATTTATGATGGGAATTTTTAAAATAATTAAATAAATGGTAAGGGAAAGTAAATTTGGTCTGATGGTAGATAATATGAAGGAGATTGGGTATTAAATAAGATGCATGGGATTGGAACATTTATTTGGCCAGATGGTAAGAAGTATATAGGAAATTATCGAGAAGATTTAAAAGAAGGATATGGAGAATTTATATGGCCTGATGGAAGAATATATAAAGGAGAATGGTATAATGGTAATCCTCATGGAAAAGGAGTATTTATCGATAAAACAGGGAAATAAGAGAAAGGAGATTGGGAACATGGAAAAAAAATAATCAAAGTTGAAGCTTGATTAATAGTTATAATAAATTTATATTATTTTATATTTCATTTTAATGCTGCTTAATCCATCAAGGCAAGTAAATCATCTTCTTCTGACTCATTTTATTCTATTTCTGATTTCATATTAGAATTTGTTTCTTCAAATTATTGATTAATATTTTATTTTAAAATTTAACTTTGTTATTGGGATTGATACTAATTATTAGGTTCTGCTAATTATTGATTATTAATAGAAGATTTAATTACATTTGGTTTATAGAAAAGATTAATATCATCTTATGAATTGATTGGTTTGGCCTAAATCAATTATGCTAGTTGATTTAATGATTAAGTTTAAATTTTTTATGATAAAGGATCAATTTAATCTGATTAAAGTGTATTTTTGGTTGATAAAATAGATGATTATTTATTTTATTGATTAGATTCTTTATTTTAGAATATATTTTCACCCAAAGTACTTGTACCTTTAAAAGGAGAAATACTTGTATTTTCTTTGTATTAAGATGAAATAGCCAAAATAACATTATAATTTTCAGGAATTTAAATCATTTTAATTGATCCTGGTTGTTCAACACCATATCCAGATATACCATAGGATCTTTATTAAAATGTTCCATCTTGATTTTATGATTTATCATTTAAAAACATTTAAACTCTAGTAAATTTGCCTGTCAATAACTTCATAATTTCTCCTCTGATCATCATATAATCAAATGATGTTAATTTAGAGTATTTGTCTATAAATGTTTATTTACATTAAAGTAGAGCTTGAATAGCTTAATCATTAATTCCAATTTCTTAAATGACATCAAAGTGCTTAATCGTACATAGATAAATTTCATATGGAGAATTAGATTTCATAAGGTATGCTTTTAATGTCATGATGATTAAATCAAATAATTTTGAAAGACTATCTTCATTAAGTTTCATAATAGAGCAATGAACAATCTGATCAATTAATGTGAATATTTCATTAACTGTTAGTGTCTTTGAAGGAGTGAATATTTTTTAAAGATTTGGATAGGTATAAATCTTGAGAGCTAGATCATTCAAAACAATTAATCCTATGAGAATAGAAATAAAGATTAACCTTTTTCTTTATCAATTCCTTGAGCTCTCAATCTTTATTCTATAATGTAAAGAACATCTCCAGAAAGATTAAGAAGAATTAATCCATTTGCCATATAAGCTCCATTCATTTATTAAATTATTATGGCTGATAAAAAGCAATAAGTATAAACAAAACCAGGTGTAAAATTCTAGGATCAACCTTCTAATGTCTTATAAGTAGAAAGCAAACCGTAAGTAATTTACAAGAATGCAACTGAATAAAAGGATCAAGCACTTAAGTAATTTAATAAAGTAACAGTTTTGAATAAAATTAGGTGTAAACATTATTTAAAACATATACGGCATCAGATCCATAATGTATAAGAAAAGATACAGCCTAATCTTTGAAATCTCTACTAGCATCATTAAGAGATTGTATGTAAGTTTTGAATATTGGGACATTCGAAGATAAGAATTCAAATTACTACCTGATATATAATGGAACAGTATATATATTTGATATATGTCGAGTGTTAAGAAAAGTAATATATACATAAATAATTTAATAGTCGATATACTAATATATTGCAATTGAATTTCTTGCATTTTGTATAACATCAATGGAAGGATGTTTGGTATTAACATCCATAAAATATTTGGATTGGAGAATCAAGCTCTATATTGAATTAGCGCACATCTATCATTCACTTTAGTCAAAGGCATGTGCATATAGAACAATAGATTTAGGATTACAAAAAGTATAGGAATTAAGAGAGTTGGAAGAAATGGATCCTCCATTGATGGATTATATGGATAAGATACTTAAATAAAATACAAGATTATTGAAGATTTTAGAATTGAAATTTAAAGTATAAGCAGGAGTATTTACAATTGATTAATGGAAAAAGAAGATTGAAGAATTTGGATAAGATAAAGAAGCAAGATGTTTAGTAATCATTGAATCTTTACGATTCTCGCCTCCAAATTTATCTAATACTGTCAAATAAACACATGTTGGAAATTAATTAAAAGAGTAATTAGTTTAAGTTAGTTATGATATTTTAAAAAATGATATGGAAAAAATTGCTATTGCATTAGAATAATAGATGGATAAAATTACTAAGACTGTTGAATTTAAATCAAAAAATATTTTAGATGAATTAGAGAGAAATGATATGACTAAAAAAAGAAGAGAATTTGAAGCATCATTAATTAAAGAAAAAGAATGGAGAGCTTTAGCTGAAGGTTTACCATTAGAATATTAAATTGAATTAGCACATCATGCTTATGATGTAGGAAATATCAAAGTCTTTGAAGATATAAGTAATTCAGCTTTTGCTAGATGTAAATATAGAAGAATTGAAGTTCCTTATATTTAGGATGTTAATATATTGATTAGTACTAATCCTTATCCAAATATTCCTAATGGTTATGATAAAATATAAATTGATATCAATGAAGCTAATCTTAGAACAGAATTAAAAAGACTTAGAAATAAAAATAAAGGGGATTAATAATAATAATAATAGTAAACTTAAAAGAAAGATGAAAAAAAAGATAATAAAAAATAACCTTAATAATAAGAATAAGAAAAATAATTAATTGATTAAGTTGGATTAGGAGTTTAAGCTACAGATTCAGAATTGGCTTAGATTAACCATAATTATATTTATTTAGTTTATAAAAAATCAATGACTCCTGATAATGCAATTTATGAAATTGATATTGTTATGGCTGATGAAGAATAAGGACCTCTTGATAAAATGAATTAAGGATATAGAGCAATTGCCATTCCTATAAAATAATATACAGGAGTTAGAGAAAAATATAAAACAGTTCCTTATTTATTACTTAAACATACAATGAATGAGTTATCTGATGAAAATGAAAAAATGTCTCTTTTGATTGGAATTAAACCATTATTTGGCAAGAATCCTCTCATTCGACCTGATTTTGGATATTAAAAAATCAATTTAGATCTCAGATAAACTCCAAAAGAATTTATTAGAAGTCCAGGAATGGATTACATTTACATTACATATAAAACAGATAAATATTATTTTGTAAAAGAGCGAGAATTATAAATATTGATTCATTTTATAAAATTAGAAAAGTCATATCAAAAAGAAGTTTCTATGAGTATAGAAGATGATAGTAGATTAGAATTGGAAATTTGTTATGATTTATAATCTTTGAAAGAATTAATGGATATGATAAGTAGTTGTTTAGTGGGACCTTTAGGAATTCATTTCTTAAAAGAAAAAAGAGATTTTTTATCTTAATTAGCATTTTTGTTATGGAGAAAATATTTCTTACCACCACTCTATTAGATGTAATTTATCTAAGAACTATTGATAACCTAAGAGATGAGTAAATAGGATTATAATCGTTATGATAAATTGATATAATAAGCAAGAGAGATTTTTAAGAATGGATTATTGGTTTTGAATGAAATTTTATTTAAAATTCCTTATGTTGATATCATATTGTTATGTAAAGTAAATTTATCATTGGCTAAATTTTTGGAGGAGGAGAAGGAAGCATAAATAGCAGAAGAGAATTTAAAAATTTGTATTGATAGAATAATTCAGCATAGAAATTCACTTACTGTTAGAGGTGTTGATTCTTAGAAAGATTTATTTTTACCATTTGCAGTTACATGTTCAAACTATAAAATAGATGAAATGATGAATAGAATGAGAGAAGCTTGGATAAATTAAAAAAATTAAATAAATAGAGAAATTAGAATAAAAAATAGATCAAATAATAAAAAATAACAATTAGAAGATGATGAATTAAATGAAGAAGAATATGAATTACTGGAAGCATATCAATCTTTATTAGGTGATGATAACAAAGATACAAGCACATTATAAATTTAATAGAAAATCAATGAAACTGATTTGATTATAAATGCTTTACATGCTGATCTAACTGTTGCATTATATAGATGTTAATTAAAAGCTGGTTTAGATATTCAAAAGAATTCAATAAAAAAAAGCTCTTTAGAAGAAGAAGTTGAAGGAGTATCTCAAGCTATTCAAAAAAAGATGTCTATAATGCAAGGAGAAACTGCATAAACTATAAAAAAAAACGTAAATCAATTATAGAGTACACTTTAAAAGGAAGGAAAACTAAAACCTCCAAAACCAGTGATTCATTAATTTGAAACTGAAATTATGAATCTAGCTAATAAAAATCCATATGCGAATTGTTTATTGTATATGCTTTTGGCTAGTATTAAATAAAAACAAACAGAATAGAGATCTTTTTTAGTTGATTCTTTGAAATTCTTGTAATAAGCAGAGAAAGATGAATAATTACATATTGAAAATGGAATTAATGATGCTATTTTTGTAATGTCTACATTATGTGATAATATTGATACTTAAAGCACATCTAATAATGTATTTCCATATAGTATGTTATATAATCCATAATACATTAAATCAACCTAAGTACCACGTAAACCAATTTTAATTAGCAGAAATTCAGAATCTGTTACTTTCAAATTACCACCTTTTAAACCTAAATTATTGGATATGATAGCAATTGATTAAGCAAAAAAAACAATAACAAGTATGGCTATTTTTGGAAAAATAAGTGCAAATGGTGTTAATGTATCATTGACTTGTAATGATTTAAATAACACAGGAATAAGATAAAAAATAGGTGCAATAGTTACAATGAATGGATTATAAAGGAATGAGAAATATTGTTTTGCTGTTGCTGCTTATGATGGAACTGAAGGAGTATCAAATGGAATAGGTGAAACAGGAGATGATATAACTACATTACATCCATTACCATTACCTTTATTAGCATCTTACTTATGTAAAGTTGCTTATTAATTATCAAATTTTGACATTTGTGAGGAAGCAGCTGATTTTTGTATAATGTAATTTACAGAAGATAGTGAATTCATAGATCGTTAATTACATAATTAACTTAATCCAATTCATATAAAAAGATTACTCTAATAGAGAATTAAATCTGTAAGTTTAATGGAAATTTAGAATTTGACAGAAACCTTATTAATAAAAGCAAAATGTTTATAAAAGAAAATTACAAATACTGGAACTTAGGCTTAGAAACATATTGTCTTATTAAAAATATGCAATTATTTATTGCTTTCATTAGAGACTTCATTATGTTGCAGACATTTCACTATTGCAAAAAGAATAGTAGCTGAATTATATAATATGTTAGAATCCTTTTAATAAGAAAAACCTTTATAGGTATTCCACTTATTATTAAAAGCATAAATAATAATTGTTGAAATTCCTAAATAATATTGGGATGCAAATTTACGTATATTATCAGCTAAATTTACATATGAAATTTTAAAAGTTTGTATGAAGCTAAATGAAATAACATTAGGAAGAAGAGTATTAACTGCAGAATTGTAATCATTTAATAGAAAGTGGTATTAAGTACCTAAGATAATTATGATTGAATAAGTAGAAGACACTAAGAAAGATACGAAAAAAGATGTAAAAAAAGGAGGTAAACCATAATAAGTAGATGAACCTGCTTAGCCACCTAAATAAGTACCGAAATTAATTCGAGAATTATATGAAGTTAATTCAACTGTTTAAGATTACTTAGAAGAAACTCTATTAGCTATGAATGATGAATTTGGAGATTACGTACCTTCATTTGTTGAAAAATGGAAAGAATAAATTGATTAATTAATACCTTATATGGAAAATCCATCAGATCAAATTGATAAAATATTTAGTGAATTATCAATTAGATTAGAATATTGGGATTGCATTAAGGATTTATCAACAGCCACTTAAAAATTACCAAAATAACATCCAATTTATATAGAAATGTTATGTAAATTAATAAGGAGAATGATTTAAAGTAATATAGATTATAAAATTATTTTGCCATTGGCTGTTTTTAATGAACAATTTTAACCTAGTGTTGCCATCTCTAATGATATTACTTCGATTTAATAAAAATGTATCCAATTAGATATTGAATTTTATCCAGCATTATTGCCAGAATTGATAGAAGATAAGAAGACAAATAAGGTAGGGAATGATGATGCTATTCAATTATTTGAAGAATATAATTTAAAAAAGACTTAATTATTAGAACAATTAAAGGTTGAAGGATAAACTATAACTAGATTTGGAATAATGTCAAAGGCAAAACGATTTGAATATATATAATTATGGAGAAGTGAGTTAAGTTTTTTGAAAGCTATATTATCTTATAAAAGTAATAGAATTAGATTAGTTGATGTGGATTGTTTTGTTTCTGTCTTTAATTTAGATATTGATCATTTGAAAGAATAAATCAATGAAAATGAATCTTAAAAATAGACTAAATAATAACAATAGGCACTTTAATAATAAAAAGAATAACAATTATAATAGCTTTAACAATAAACTTAGTAAAAGTAACCTCCTGCAAAATAGCCTCCAGGGAAATAATAAGTTTAATAACCTGTAGTAGAATTGAGTGAGGAGGAAGAATTAATATAATTATCTACTTAAATAATTAAGAATGTGGCAGATGCTTGTGGATTTGCAATTTGGAGTAAATAATATATTGTAATGTTAAACCATGTGAAATTTTTGTATAATTTTTTATTAAGAGAATAAATTAGTCCATTCATTCATTAAGGATAATGTTGGTAAGATTTATGTTTTATTGGGAATTGTATAAATATGTTAATAAGAGAAGTGAAGGATCATGGTTGGTTTTAAGTAAAAGAATAGGCAGAGAATGAATTAGCATTATAACCTCATTTAACATAATAGGACTATGTATTTGAACCACCTTTACCTAATATTGAACCAATTCGACCATCTTTACTTACATAATTATCAAAAGATTGTTGGTTTAGTAAATATAAAGATATGGATTTATTGGCTAATGTTATGGCATATATAGTTTAATCTTTGATGGTAGAATAGAAATGGAATAGCTTAATTGGTATATCTAGATAATTTTGTAATTTAACGACTCATTATTATTCATAATATATTTTACCATTTACTATTCATGCATAGACTATCTTATTTAAAGAAGCTTAGAATAAAACATAATTAAAGTAAGAAGAATTGAATGCAAGAACTCAAGCATTTTAGGTTTGGGAATAAACAAAGAAAAAGAAGACAAGATCTTCATTATTGACTCAAGAAATACCATAAGAAGAATAAGATTATCGTGCAGATAGAGAAATGTTATTATAGTAAATTCATTTGTTATAGTAAAAACAAGATTTTATTGAGAATTAACTAAAAATTAGTGAAAAACTTATTTAAGAAATAAATAGAGATGCTAATTAAGCATTAGAGAACTTAAAATAAGCGAGAAAATTGTATGAAAAATTTGCAATAGATGATGAATTGTTAAGCAAGGAAAGTATACAATTAGAATTTAATTCTGAATAGTATCTATTGAAATAGACTACAATAGATAAAAAGTAATTATAATTGATGGATTAGACATTAAAATAAAAAAAGAAGAATCATAAATAGTTTGGAATGTAAGTTATATCTAAATATAAATTAACATGTGAATTATTACATAAACGATAAGAGAAATTTGCATAGGCATTGGCTCTAAAAGAATTGGGTTCATTGAATTTTGCAATGTAAAATTATGCGTAAGCTGAGGAATCATGGAGTGAGAGTTTAGATACAATATTTCAAAGAATATTTGTTTTAAAGAGTAGTGCTTTTAGATAAATAATTCAGGAGTGTAATAAGAATAATTAATTGCTTGCATAAACTTATGGAATTTAATAATGTTTAATTGGAGTTACTCTATGTTCAATATTAGCCTATAATTGTTATTATTCAAATTGTCATTAATAAAGAGAGAGTGCTATATTGGCATCTGAATTAGTTTCATCAGTATTAAAATTGTAAATGATAAATGGATTAGATTGGTAAGCCTTTATTCATTCAAAAGAAGTTGCTATAGGAAATATTTTTAATGATAGATATGTTTTAGATCCTGCTGAATTAGCATTAGCATGTGAGAGATGTGCATGGTTATTATTAGATAGAGATGAAGCTTTAAGAGCTATTCCATTGATTAATTTACTTGGTGAATTAAGTAATAGATTATAAAGTAATTTCTATTCAGTCCGTGCTAAATTATTACGATCAATAGCATTATCATCTATTGGTTATATTAATTAAGCCTATTAAGCATTATTATAAATAGCAAATGAAAAAGATTTACCTGATTAATCTAATTCACTATGGCAATCCAAAGTTTCTGGAAAATGGTGGTATTCTAATTTAGAATGGAACAATTCAATACCTCCTTATGATGAAAAACATACATAATTGACTGAAAAAATACTTAAAGAATTAGAATTAACTAGAGAATTTGGTTTGAAATATGGTTTATAAAATGAAAATGTTTTTAATTATGCTGTTGCTCTTTTAGTTTACAATATACATTCTGGAGATATTATTGAAAAATGGGAAATAAATGATCTAAGATGTAAGTTTTTAATAAAAGTTGAATCAATATTAAGAAATACTCTTAATAAATTGAATTAAGAAGAATAAATAGAATAAAGAATATTAACTAAACCAAAAGAAGAAATATTAGCTGATCCAAAAATGGAAGATTATTATCATTTGTAAGGTACATCAAAATAAATTGGAGTTACTAATAATTAAGAAGGATTGACATATTTATAAAAAAGAGAAGAGAGAATTTATATGATGGCAAGATCTAGAAATTTAATGGCCAAACTGAATATTAGTATGGGTTAAATTACTAGAGCATTATATATATTTAAGTATGCAATAGAAAATTTATAATTATACACACTTGAATTGTAAGCTAATGAAAATGGTGAAGAATAAGAGAATTTACCATGGGATTAATTAAAACCTTAAGGTGTAATCGAAGATAAAAAAGGAGCCAAAAAAGCACCTGAAAAGAAAGGAAAAGAAGGTAAAGAATCTAAAGATAAACCTATTGCAGATGAAGTACCTGTTGTAAAAAGTGATGCATAAATTAAATTAGAAGAAACTATCTTATCAATTGTTGAAGCTAGAAAAACTAGGCATTCATTAAATATATATTATTGGATTAAATTAAGAACTGAATTAACTTTATTATTATATAGACATAATAGACATGATGAAGCTTTAGAATATATGGATACTTTAATGAATGATTGTAAATAATTTAATGATAATTATCATTAAAGATTAATCATAGAATATTAAGCTAGAATTCAATTCAAAAAAGGAAAATCTGTTGAATCAATTAAGAAATTTAAAGAAGCTATTGAAATTGGCTAAAAGAATTTTCATCAAGATCCTTAAATGATTGTACTCTATGGAGATCTTGGAGAAATATATTATGAAAAAAATGAATTATAAGAAGCCAAATAATAATTCTATGATGCCTATTAAATGGCTGAACAATTAATGTAAATGATTAATTATGGATATGGAGTTGTACCTAATTGGAATTAAAAAAGTGGATAAGAAAAAATATAAATCTGCTAAGATTTATGTGTACCTATGGAAATAGAATAAGAAATATTAAAAAAGACTGATAAATAAATTAAAACAACTAAAAAAGATGAAAAGAAAAAAGATGATGGAAAAGTTGTCAGAAAAGGAGCAGACAAATAAACAAAAAAAGAAAATGTAGATAAACCATCAATGCCTATTAAAGGATTAAATTAATTACCTAACTATAATTTCATTTAACCAACTAAACTCACATATACTACTGTAGATATTGATACTATTAATAATACATAATATTAATATAATTGCTATTTAAAGAACATTGAATTATGGTAGAGAGCAGCATTAAGATATGTTGATATTATGATTACTTTAAATTAAGCAAATGAAAATTCTACTATATCTATAGACTCATAAGAATCATCTGTAGCTTCAGATTCTGAAAGTGATAAATCATCTGTTAAAGACATTTTTGATATTAACATAATTAGTGACATCATTAATAAAATAGATACTTCAATTAGTAAAAGCATTAATGTTCCAATTAGTTTCAGATTAGAATTATATTTCTTATAAAGTAAGATATTTAAAATGAAATTTGTTTAATTATTGTTAAATTTGCAATAAAAATACTTTATGAAATATTTGTCAGGAAAAAATAAAAAATATTCAGATTTCTATGAAAAAAGACCTCATAGAGATTTGGTTAGGAATAAATACTTTTTATTAGTTCCTCCTTTCTGTTAATTACTAAAAGAACAAGGATTATAATATCTAATGCAAGCAAAAGAAAGTTTATCTAAAGCTATAAGTGTAATAAGAGGAGAAGCTGTTTTATTTGAATTTAACAGAAAACCAGAAGAAATATTAGTTGCTATGGCTGAAATTTGCTTATTTATTAGAGAATACAGAGTTAGACAAGGATATAGATATGTTAAGGTTGATTACTTGTAATCTTTAATAAATTCTAAAAGTAATAGTTTTTATTAATTTATTTTTAGATACTGAATAAAACAAAATAGACTTAGAATAATAATTAATTAGTATGGAAAGATCAGATAGATTGGAATAATTAAACTTAGAATTAGAAGCATAAAGTTATCTTAAATATGCTATTGAATTAGTTAAAGCAAGACAAGAATTATTAGAAAACTTTGCTGCAGTTGCATTAACACCTTTGCCAGATGTTAACAAATTGGCTCTGGAAATTTATACTGAAATTATTGAATAAGACTATTAATATAAGAAAAAGTACAATCCTATGTTATTTGATGAATCAAAAAAGAAAGTAGGTGTTTCATCAATGGACGTTTTATAGTTCATTTAAAAAGTATGGAGAGAAGCTAAAGTAATGACATTTAGTGGAGCATATTTATAAAGAATGATTTCAAAAACTCATCGTTTCTTAAAATTACATATGTAATCATATCAAAAATGCTTAATAACTTCCTTAGAAGTAGCTCCTAAAAATGATGTTAATGCTGTATTTATTGATGAAGGCACAATTGTTACTAAATTATTCTATAATCCAGTTGCTCATGAATTTAAAGTTCTTTATGTTTTGGGAGGACTTAATAAAGAAAAAATTATTACTTCATTATCAAAAGAAGAAAAAGATAAACTTATTATTTCAGATGAGAAAAACGTTTTATATGGAAGCATATATATTACTGATGCTAATATTTCTATGCTCTTATAAGATGCTCTCAATTTGCAATCTAAAATGAAAGAATCAGATTAACAATCATAAAAAATGAAAGAAAGAGATTATAAACATCATAAAAAAGCATTTTATAAAATTATTGAATAACTTGGATTCTATTTCTTTTAAAAACCAAGTAATTTATTTTTTTCTATTTAGGTACAATCTAAATGTAAAATGGATAACCTACTGAACCAGTTAAAAAGTCTGTCGCATTCAAAAAATCAGAATCCTTTATGTAAGAGTAAAATGAACCTGATATTCTTGCCAAATATGAAGCTATTGTCCCAGAATTGACTCATGATAACATTGCTGTTTTAATCAACTTATTCAATGATTTAGGAGTTTTGGCCATTAATCATAACTATTTAGCAATTTTAAGATATTTCCATCATTAAAAATACAAATGAGATTATTCATACATTTATATTCATATTCATTATATCTAAAATATAATATAGTAATAGAATTAAAGTAAATATATATTTTCAAATTTCTATTCAAATTATATTATTTATGTCTAATTTAGAACAAAAGAGATGTTCTTAACATGCTTAAGAATTTATAGCCGTTAAGGTTGCTTAGAATCTTTAAGAGGAAAATAATTATTTATGTGTGTTTAATCGAACTTATAAACAATAAAGATTTGATACTTATTAGTTAAGCAAAGATTAACATTTAGAATTAAAAAAAATAAATAACTAAAAATATAGAAGAACAATGCAAATAAAAAATAAGCTTAATGAAAAATATTAATGAAAGTATTAAAGAGCAAAAAGGTCTTTTAGAATAAATATTTGCCAATCTTATTGGAGAAATCGATTAAATAAAAAGTTAAACAGAAAAATAACTGTAGTAAGGTGAAATAATAACATCTGATAATTTAGAAATAGATTTAGGATTATTAAATGATAAAAATAGTAATTAAACTATATAAATAATATCAGAAAATGAGTTACTACTAATTAAATCATTTCTAAATTAAACTAAGTTTTGTGAAATAAATAATCTCTCAAAAAAGATCCTTGAAATATTTACGAAATTTTATGACATCTCAAAATTACAAAATGAAAGTTTTAATTTTGTGGTTGAATAAAAGCAGAAAACTAAAGTAACTTTTTAATTAATCTAGGAAATGCCTTTTTTAAAGTTTTTATGCGAAAATCATGATGAATAAATATTTATGCTCTAATTAGATGAAAAAAATAAAGGTTAAAAATTTGCTTGTTCTCAGTGTATAGCGGAAAACTAAGGAAAATAAATAACACTTGATTAATTGTAATAAAAATATGATACTTACTAATTTTAATCTGAAACTTCATTAACATATTTTTAATAATTAAGAGAACAGCATACAAGATAAATAATTATATTATGTAAGGAAGTATATGAAAAATAAAAGTAAACCGTAAACCAACTATTTAACATTTAGAGGAGAACTTAAAATCTTTTTAAAAAACAATAAACATAAATTTATAATTTAAGAATCAAAATATTTTTTAATTAGAGAAAGAATAATTATAAGATTTATTATAACCATTATATTAGGAATAAAGTTCCGAACATTTTTATAAAATTATTGAAAAATAATTAGAATAGGATAAGGAATTATATGTTAAATTTGAATAACATTTTGAATAATTAATAAAATTAGAAATGTAAAATTTCAATTTAATTAAACATAGAGCATTAGTTTATTTTGAAGAAACTAGAATATTAAAATGATAAATTAGAATAAAAAATAAAATCAAATAATAATAATAATGATAGTTAAACTTCAAATGATTAGAATGATCAAGAAATCATTAATTTAGAAGATTAAATAAATAATTTTATATCTTAAAAATTTTAATTATATTTATTAAATTAGTAACATGTAGAATTATTCAAAAATCGTGAGAAGATCTAGAATGAATAAACTTAATTAATTGAGAATTTAATAAAAGTACAAAATAAACTTAAAGAACAATAAAAATAATTTTGCATAAGGGATTTCTAAATTAAAATTAGAAAAAGCTACATTAAACTTAGAAAGGCTAAAGAATAAACTTAATTCTACACCTTTTTTTAGTTAAATATAAAATGAAAACTAAACTTAAACAGATGAAACAATTGAAAGCCTAGAAAAAGTGAATTTAGCCAAAATAGATCTATAAAAGGAGATAAAATAGGTTTAGTATCCAATTTTAATTATTAGTATTAAGATAAGGAATCTAAGCTTCTTGAATAAATTCAAACTCTATAAAAAGAAATTAATAGCCTTAAATAAAAGGAAGGTTTATTTTCTTTACTATCTATTTCCTATTAACCTTAATTTAATGCCAATTATAAATTATCTAAATATAATGTTGCTAACCCTAAATTGATTTAAGGTAATAAACTGACTAATATTAAGCCCCATAAGGAGGATTTGGGATTGCCACAATGTAACCTCCGTTACCTAAAGATAAGCTAACAACATTTGCTTTTAAAATAAATGTATAATTTTAAATGAATTAGAAATACAATTCATGGGTAGGGGTAGGAATAGGAATATGTCACTTATAAACAGCTTATGGTTTTAACTATGATATGAATGGAAATTATACATCAACAAACCATAATACTTATCTTGCATGTGCTGGAGGATATAGAATTTCAAGTTATGAAGGTTATAATGGTGTTACTAATTTTATATATAATTAAGGAAGTATCATAATTTGTTATTATGATCCTACTAATTTTAAATTAAATTTATTGCATCTAAATGTATAAAAATAATTTATAAAAAGGATGGAAAAACTTACTTATTAGATTTAACAAATAATAATGGTTTAGAAATGTCTCCATGTGTAATGTTATACGGAAATGCAGAAGTAGAATTTATTTGAAATATTGTTTTTCTCTAAGATTATATGAAAATAAAAACAATATATTAAGAATAAACATATATTTACAAATTATATAATATTTAAACATAAATATTGCAAGATCAAAGTTAAATCAAACATAGTTGTTTAGGTTACTGCGATGATAATATGCTTTATTAATTTTCCAAAGTTTATAATGGCTCGTGAATTTCCAAAAGTAGTAAAATTAAATGATGTCTTGAGCATTTTTAGTTTTAATCTAAAATAAGTGATAATTTTACAAGATGGGATAAAAATTCATATTGTTTACCATATCTGCAAAGTCCACATTCGAAAATTGCGATTTCTTTGGTTGTCCAAGTTTCTAAAAATTTAGAAATATTGATAATACCAAATGGAAAATCATTTCTTAATGGAGATATTAGAATATCCAATACATCTTATTAAAGTAGTGAATAAACATTGATATTGCCTGATTATTATTATTATTATTCATTCTATTCTTGATTAGGTGAATCGTTATCAGGAATTTTCTTTTTCCTTCCAGGTTTCTTTTCCTTGAATTAATAATGTAATATAAACTTGTTTAAGTTCTTTTTTTGAATCTATTAAGACTTTTTCTTTCATAAACTCTGCCAATTTTTGATCACTCTTATAATACAATTAGACCACAACACTCAAAAGACTTTCTAAAGCATTTACCCACAATGGTTGTGTTCCTTTTAATCTATATTGACCTCCTTGTGGTAATTTTTTAGTGAAAATGAGTGGAGTGATTGAGTTTGGCG